TCAGCTTTTCTTCCGGTTGCAGTTGCTGCAAGTCCAAAGCCGCAGGCTGCTGTTCCTTTTCTTCCAGGCCAGGTTGTTCATGACCAACTGAGCAGTAGCTTGCTGAAAATTAACTGTTATCACCGCCGCCCTATATAAAGTCCATTCCTGAAATTACTTGTGCTTGCAGGTTTTTTTTACAACCCAGAAAACCATCTTCTGGTTTTCATTCCATTTTAATATAACTTCCCATATACATTGACACTGTTTGCCTTGGGCTGCAAAAACTCTCTCGCTCCTTCAACCCCAAACACTCTGTACCTTCTAAAGAAACGTTCTGTCAGAAATCTACTTTGCTCTTCTGTATACAACAATGCATCCGTTGGCACGTTATTTAACACGATCTGAATTACTGGCAGCGAAAGTTTTTGATCAGCACCGTATTTAAATGAATTTGAACGGGATGTTTTTCTCTCTAGGTGACTGCACTGTCTTCTGCGATTTATTTAGGTGGTCGCCACTCCCGAGAGGAATATGAATATTATTAACACATCTAGAGCCATCAGACCCCCGAGCTTTCTTGCTCTGTAGGTATACAAGAATATTCACTCTCCCTCTGGCCTTATCCTGGCATACTTTATGATACCTTCCTATGGAGCTCAGGTTTCTCAATTAAAAAACGTCTTGAATTTCAGGTAACAACCTAGGCAAGGTAATCTATAAGACCGCTGCATCAGGTCTTTTCCCGTGCAACTAGTTAGAAACTTGAATTTTCTTCAGTATAAATTCAATCAGCTTTTCGATCTTAATCTGGTATCTGCTAAATAATTCAGCTCCCAGTTTCGTGCTATTTTTCTCCATGTGGCGTTTTAGTTCTGCCCTATTACAAGGGCGATTTCAAACACCGTTATATAAAATCCTTAATGTCTGGTTCATCCAACAAAATTTATTGATTCCTATGCACCAGCTCAGTTTCTGTCCTTGCAGTGCGTCGGTTACTATGGTGAACGTCTGCACTTCACCAGCTGGGTAAACCGAAAAACAAGTACCCATTTGTTCAAAAAAATTCGTTGCAGAACTTCTGCTATCAAAAGTCATTGCGGGTTTTATCGATACTCGCATCATATCTATGATGAAAACAGAAATTTTCCTTGGGATTTACTGGTGCCGGTGGAGACTGTGAACTTGTGGGAGGGGAGGACTAAAAGTTGAATTCTCTTTATCCATTGTTCGTGCCTTTGTTCGGGTGCAAAATATAATTTGATTTCTTTGGTATCATAAACTGAAATCAAATTCCTAACTGATTTTCAGAGAATTATCGCCTTGTCTGAAGTTAACGTCAGAGTTTTAAAACAAACCATTTTATTAAATTAGAACTTTGAACAAAAAATGGCATAAAATGCTTAGCAAAATCAGTCAACCAATTTTTATCATATAACAGGAACAGGGAAAAGTGGACGGAGCACCAGAACTTCGTCAATGACTTTTGCAGGTATTGCTCCGCCGCACTACTGTACCCGCTGGGCGTTCGGTTGGCCCGCATCAAAAGCCAGCCCAACAAGACATTTACAGAGATACTTTCCATTAATTCTGGATATTCGTGTTGAATATACGATTACAATGACACGGTATACAACTATTACAATGAACTTAATCGATTAACAAAAGTTGGGTTATGACAGATTAATATAACATAATTACATCAAACATGCATTCGTACATCATACAAACAATGCATGTACATTAGTATATCTAAGTACGTCAAATTGCATTAAACATTTTTTAAGGAACTAATTTATTGTAGAATATTTTGAGCATCTCCTAGTATATTGTCTCATTCCTAAGTATCTTGTTAATACATTTCCTTTCAATTTTTTTTCATGTTACAGACAATTGCAACATTTCTGAAATCTTACGTTGTTTTTGTGAATTAATATATCATAATTAAGCATACATTAGTACATCACATAATACTTACACTTACATTAAGATATCTAATTACGTCAAATGATATTAAATAGTTTTTTTTATAACTATCATATATATAGATATTTGCATCTCCTAGTGCACTGTCAAACTCTTTATGTAATTATTTTGTTAAAACCTTTCTTACCAATTTTAACCTGTTTCAGGCATTTGCAACATTTCTGAAATCTTGCATTATTTTTGTAAGTTGTGGAATATATGGTACTTATACAGACATTATAGCGCCTTGACATATGCCTTCTCTTATATGCGAGAAAATCAATTAAAACTTTTGTTGTAATCAAGGAAAACTTTTGCTGTAATTGAGGGATTGTTAGTAAGCATTTAATGACTCAGGTGTAATATGTGTACTTTCTTTACAGTGTAGCTCTTTTGTGACCTGGAACTTGAAAATAAAGTGCTCTGGATCTCCCTTTTCCTCACATACGCACTTGTCTGAGTCACTCAGATTTCATCCAATGCAGTACATGTGGAAAGGACTATGTCCAGATAAAAAAATGTTGATAAAGAAGTTATATCATGTTGGATCATATGTGGGTTACGTGGGTTAAGTGGGATTATACACTGCTTGACACTGAAAATGCAACACCAAGAAGGAGTGGTCAGAAAGTGAAGAAATTTGGAAAAAGACAGAGACAGCAAGCAGCAATAAATGATCTTTATGTCAAAATGATAGTCAGAATACAGAGAAAAAACGGCGTCGGCTCAGTAGGATGGAGGAACACCGCGGACAGCGATGCACGAAGAAACACGTCTAGGCATAAAGTCAATGAGTGCGGATGGTGTCCTGAGGGATGGCTCTCCATTCCCTTTCAACCATTTGCCCAGTTCGTCTTCTGAACGAGGCAGGGGCAGAGTCTGCAAACGGCGTCCAATCACATCCCACACATGTTCGATTAGGGACAGGTCAGGAGAGTACGGTGGCCAGGGAAGCATCTGTATAACTTGAGAGCATGGGGCAGATGCGAGCACTGTGTGGTCGGGCGTTATTCTGCTGAAATATTGCATTAGGCACCCCCTGAAGGTAGGGGATTGCCACCGTCCGCAGTACATTATCCAAGTATCGTTGGGCCGTCATAGTGCCCTGAATACGAACTAGAGGCGACCTGCAATCGTAGGCAATAGCGCCCCAAACCATTATGCCACGTTGTCGCGCGGTGGGGCGTTCCACAGTTACTACCGGATTAGACCTGTCTCCACGTCGACGACACACACGTATGCGGCGACTGTCACTGGATAAACAGAAGCGTGACTCATCTGGAGAACACGACGTTTCGCCATTCTGTCATCCTCATCGCTTCAGTCCGGCACCATTCTAAGCGTTGGCGTCTATGCTGTGGGGTCAATAGCAGTCTTCTTAACGGACGCCGTGAGTGCAGGCCACGTTCATGTTGATAAGGAGGTTATACACTGACTAATAAGTATTTGGTCTTATTTACCAATAAGTATTTGGTCACCTATGCAAATGACGATATCTGCGGTCCTAAGGTACGTCACGGAATCCGCCGGTATATATCGTGTAGGAAACAGCATCAGCTTTAGTTGCATGCAAGATACCTCGCAGTTCGGAGCTCTCTGATTTCGAGAAAGGTATAATTATTGGGTATCACAAATGTGGCCGATCCTTAAGGGGCATATCTAGCCATCTGAAGTACCCAAAATCGACAGTGGCCTATGTGATTAAGAAGTGGAAGGTGAGCGGTGATTGTCGGAATGTGCCCAGAGTCGGGAAACCAACGAAACTGGGAGCTAGAGACCGACGAGTGCTGTCCAGAGAAATTCGGAAGAACCGCACCCAACCGATGGCCCTCATCCGCAAGGAGTTTCAACAGGCATCCGGGAGTATTGTTTCAATGAATACCATCCGTAAGGAGGCACATCTGGTTGGTTTTCATGGTCGTGCTGCTGCCCATAAGCCTTTGATCACAAAGTCCAACCGCGCTGCTCGGTTAATGTGTTGCAAAGCACATCGAAATTGGACCGTAGACAAGTAGAAACGGGTTCTTTGGAGTGACGAATCAAGATTCACCCTTTACCCTTCGGATGGCAGGTTCTGGGTTTGGCGTCTACCTGGAGACGTCTCCTGCCAGAATGCATTGTGCCAACAGTCAAGTTCGGCGGAGGTGGAATTATGGTCTGGGGTGTTTCTCCTGGTATGGGCTGGGACCCTTGGTCCCATTCATGGTAAGCTCAACTCCGATGCCTACTGCACTATTTTGGATGACAATGTGCTTCCTACGTTGTGGCAGTTTTACGGGTTTGATCCCTGTTACTTTCAGGACGACAATGCCAGTTGTCATGTTTCGACGTTAACCAAGGCTTGGTATGGTTAACCAGACCTGAACCCTATCGAGAACCTCTGAGACGAGTTGCATCGCCGAATTCAGGACTGCACTACCCGTGCAAAATCGGTGAAGGAACTTCTATGTCTTCTCCAAGCCGAGTGGATGAAAATACCACTAGCTGTCATACAAAGACTTGTGGAAAGTATGCCCCGGAGGGTCCATGCTGTAATTACCTCTCGTGGAGGCTCTACCAACTATTGATTTTCAATAAAGTTAGTTTTTCTTTTCTATCACAGGTGTCCAAATACTTATTGGTAGTCAGTGTATAACATTGGATCATAGTTAATCAATTAAAATAAATTTAAAATTTAAAATTAAGACCAGTTTTAAATTTAAAATGCTATACAGTTGATTTAACGCAAAGTTGGCTCAATCTTTTCGCCGGAGAAACAATTTAAAATGACAACATCTATAACGCAAAGCCGAATAATTAAATCTCATCTGAGCTGGTTAAATTTAAAAACGTGGCTTCGACAGGCAGAAACACGCTCTGTCTTGCAATCTAAAAACCTTGCCTTAAATACTCTTATCCTGATTTGCATTCTGATAAGGAAACGGAAAGGAGAAGTGATAGTACGTGCTGAAAATAGTGCAAATAACTGCTTAGAAAAAAATAATGATGATGTCGCAATTTTTTATTAATAAAATTTTGCTTCATTCTAATCTTACTAACTTCTTTTTTTGATGTAGGAACTTCAGCTTGCGTTTGATTGGTTCAAGGACTACGACCCTCCATTCATATTTACTGGTGATCTGGAAAACAAGGTGCATATGCTATGCGATGTTGACAGCGAGACGCTAGTAAGAAATTAATTCCATTTCTTATAATTATTTAAAATATTATATGCACGTTTTTTCAAAGAGAATGATGGGAATTATAAGAAAGGAAAATTTCAAAAAAGATAAGCATTAGGATCTAAAATACTACGTGCTTGGGTTTTCAGAGTTGAATGCTATATGTCTAAGATACTCAACAAATGCAGTTTTTGCCTTTTTTTTTAATAATTGAGAGCTTTATGTATGTTGTATCTAAGACCTTTCCGTATTTAAAAGGGGTTATCAAATATTAGTTCTAAAAGAGTGGTTGGTATTGTTTAAAAGTGGAAGGAAATTAAATATTTAAAGCCTAACTCAATTAAATAAATGTTCAGCATTAAATCGATGATATTCAGATTGCGTTCCAAGAGACTTTTCCTTTGCAAAACCTGAATTTTTAATTTACAAAATTAGAAGTATCTTTCATACATGTTTTTATACGTAATCTTATTTTGACGTATTTTTTTATTTTTATCCCAAAGGCCGTTAGCCCGGAAGGGCTATTAATTTCAAAACGGCATTTTGCGTTGAGGCACTTTTTAAACTGTTGCCACCAAATACTATCGCTATGTATTATATTTAAAGAAACTAACTAACATAAATGTTTCTCGCATTGTGAAGAAACAACGGTACCTAGAGCCATCAAATTTTGAATAATGTAAACTTCCACTGAATTTGGGCATTTGGAAGCCCGAATTTGGAATTTGAAATTAGTTTCATTATAGATTTCATATTTTGTAACACTTTAACGAATTTTTCATTAACAAACTCAACGTTTTCAAAGCGAGCAATGGCGATACTGTACGCAAAAGAAAGCATTTTTATCTCCAGCGCAGCAAGACCGTGTATCGGAAATTCTAAAAAATGCTCATGCGATATTGCTGTTAAATTCAATTTTATGGTTTATGTGCGAAGAACATGATATATAATAAATAAAAGTAGCACACAAAACTTTAGAAAGCGCCCCTTTGGACGTAATGTAAAATCTGAAAGCTTTCAGAATTTTTTATGATCTATTTAAAATTTTGTAAAATTTTAACGAATTTTTTATTAACAAAACCAACGATTTGAAAGCGAGCAATGGTAGCACTGTACGAAAAAAGAACATTTTTATCTCCAGCGCGAGACTGTGTATCGGAAATTCTAAAGATATGCTCTTTTGCTATTTTTAAATATTTTGTGATATTGCTGTTGAATTGAATTTTATGTCTTTTAAGTGCAAGAAATGAATTAATCATAAAGTTAAACACACAACAAAAAAAAAATCCCTTTTGGGCGTGATATAAAATCTTAAGCTTTTCAGATTTTTTTTTTTTTTTTTTTAAATTATATAGAAGCCAAAGGGCAAATTTGCACAGAAGACTTATTAATTTCGTTTGCATTTGCGTGAAAACTCTAAATGTCGGTTCACTTTTCAAACTGTTGCGAAGAAATATTATCGCCTTGTTTTATATTTAAAGAAATTAAATAATGAAGAATGTGTATAACTGTATGCATGTTTCTTGCATAGTGATAAAACAACGGTACCTAGAGCCATCGGATTTTGTATAACGTAATCTTCCACCGAATATGGGCATCTATCTAGAAGCCCTATTAGCCCAAAGGCCGTTAGCCCAGAAGGGCTATTAATTTCGTTTGGTATTTTGCGTTGAAAACATTAAATGACGGTTTCACGGTGCAAAATTGAGCCATCAATATTATCGCCCGGTATCGAAAAGAAATTAGAATCCATCTGAAAAAATGTTTGTATGTTTCTCGCATTGTGTAAAACAACGGTATCTAGAGCCATCAATTTTTGAATACGAATCATCCACCGAAATATGGGCATCTGGAAGCCCAATTTGCAATTTGGTTTTAATTATCGATTTCATATTTTGAACTTTAACGAATTTTTGGACAAACGCATCGACAAAGCGAGCAAAACACGGGGACGGAGGGAAAAAAAATACGAGCGCCGAACGTAATCAATTCTAAAGATATGCTCAATTTTAAAACTCTTTTTTTTTTCACTGTACTATTTATAGTATACTCAAATTTATTTAAAAATACTATAGTAATCAGCTGCGTTCTATTACATAATTCATACACCTTTTTTACGAAATATGCATACACCGTGGAAACTTGAAATGATTTGTTACGTAAGTGCACTTAAAGTTCAAACAAGGAAAAAGAGATTTTTTATACAGCCAAGAATTATTGTTCATAATGTTTGCGACCTTGTTAATAATGATGGTAGCTAAATTGAAAGAGGATTGTTGAGGTTTTACGAATTGTGTAAGATCATTGTTTAAAATAAAATGCAGAGATCAGGAGGTGTTCGGTCACATAGTATTCCGCATTAAGAGCTGTATGCGAGTTTGAAGTTTTGGAAGATGCAGAGTGCGTGTAGTCAAGTTGCACATACAATCAAAGCGTTGTTGCTTGAATTTCGGCCATATGTCTAAGCCTTGTGGAAATGAAATTGCATGTAGTACAAAGTGTTCTACAGCACATGAGAGCAAGACTTGTAAGATTAAAAGTGCAGTTTGTAGTAATTTCAAAATTTCAAATAAGAAATTTAAAACCAATTATGATGTAAACTATAATGCACTCTCAATATGTTGTGAAACGCATAAAAGAGAGTTTAAATTTATAATTGAGCACTTAAATACTGAAATATAATAAACTGTATTATTTGGATTTTAGGAGTTTATGAGTTTTAGTATGATTTCAACTTTCTGTGGCGGGACCGCTTTTAAGATTTTATAATTTCCTTTTATTTTTTGCTGGGTTAAACTGTGACCTGGCTTTTAAATTTTGAGGGGCTACAGCCTTATACATAATATGAATTTATTGCGGTTAACTTGAATCACTGCTCTGTGTCGGCATGCACGCTCACTGGGATTGGAAAAATAATTGACTAAACCCCTGATGTCGTCCTAGTTCAAGAACCTTATTGTATTAAGCGATACAAAAGATATATAATTGCCGGAGATTTTTAAGTCCAAACATTTTAATTTGAGCTAACTTTGAGCTGAGATAATTGCAGTTACATTTTAAATTATTTTATTACATGCAATCGTTTAGTTTTATTTAATAGTTTTTTAATTCTCCTCCAACTTTTTCCTCATATGTTGGTGAAGGGTTCACGAATGTGAAACTTGTTTCTCAAAAGACTGAAGTAAGGGGGGGAGGTTACTGATTTAGTATTTTGGACTGTGAGACTTTTAGTGATCATAAATATATTTTATTGAGTGGACACGGAAGTAGTTGTTCAGAGATATAGACACTCTAGATATAAAAAATAGATTGAATTACTTTCGTAAAAAGATGAGAAAGAATATTTAAAGGTTTGCATAAAGATTTGAGATCGCTTACAGAAAGAGAGCAAATACGTAAAGTGGCTTAGGAATTGGAAGAAGTGATCATTAAATATGCAAAAAAAAATTTAAAAGTTAGGAAGAAAAAAATGCAGGGAAATTTCTTCGTAAACCTCTTAACTGAAAAAAAAAAAAAAAAAAAAAAAAAAAAATAGAGGGAGGGTAAGAGCCCTTAGAAAAAAGTTCGCAGACAGATAATATTCAAATGGAGATTAAAGTACTGAGAAAGATATTGTAACGATATAAACGTGAGCTGGCTATTTGAAAATGCGGAGAAAATCAAATATAGATACTTCCTTGGGAGCACAGAATATTGCGAAATATTTTTTAAAATATAAACTGCAAAGCTAAAGAAATTTATAAAAGGCTTGAAGGAAGGGGAAGATTTTGGAAAAACCTCGGAAATGATAATAAGGAACGTTTTATACACATATGATGAGGATAATTGCTCTGAGATGAATTATATAAAAGATGTGAAATTAGAAGAATATTGTTGTTATCCCGGGGAAGAATTTTTGAAACAAGAGATCCAGATGGTGAATCAATTGAGAATTAGAAGTGAACCAGGTACAAATGGAATTAGAGCCACCATCGTGAAAAGAATGTTTCATTTTTATTCTGATTATAGAGTTCTTTTATACAATGAATGTTTTAAATATCATATTTTTCCTAAAGGTGTGGAAGATTGGGAGAGATGTCCTAATTGTGACAGAAGATGGAAAATATAGACCAGTTGGTTTGTTAAAATTCTTGGCAAAGGTTTCAAACAATTATGTACAAAAAAGGGCTTTATGACATCAAATTATATCGAGACAATATGAATTTGTATCGAGCTACTCTGCCGATGATGCATTATATGGTTTTATAAATTTTATTCGAGAAAAGAGAAAATCGTTTCATGTGGTCGCTGTCTCCTTAGACACTGAAAAAGCTTGAGTAAATTGAAACATACTTTTAAAAATTTTATTAAGACTTCCTTTTGATATTTTTAAACTTCTACAAAACTGTTTTGAAGAAAGAAATGTTTTGTTTTCTATAAAAGATAAGGAGAATGATAAATTATATGAAGTGAAGAGAGGTTGTCCTCAGAGTTCATGCAGAGCCTCCACTGCTTTGTAACATTGTTATTAATGAATTACTTAGTAAGGAGTTTCCAATCATGTAGGAATGCTTTGTTATGCCAACTACTTAAAGCTTGTTGGGTCAGAATTCTTCCTGGATAGGCTGGATAAAAAATTTAAAGAGGCTGTAAATATATTTGTTCTCTAATAGTTGGAGAAAGGAATAGTGATTAAGAGTTCAAATTTAAGAAAATCAAGGGTCTATTTTTCCCCACGGGAGGTAAAAGCGTAAGGAAACTTCGTCTTTTTTATAATGAAAACAAAATTGAACTAATTAAGGATTTGAAATTTTGGAGGGTATTTTTCGATAATGTAATTACTTTGTTGAACATTTTAAATATGCACGTAGGAAAAGTGATTTGATTCTGCAGTTTTATAACAGAAGCTTGCCAGGCGCGATTCTGCTCACAGAAGCACCACATTACGAAAGATCTTTGATAATGTTATTTTACAAATTATATTCTGCAGTACTGGGGCTTACGGAACACGAGTATCGGAGATGTAACAGATTAGATTAAAATTAGATTCCAGCTAGAAGAGTTGGCTGCTGACGAACACAAGATTTTTTAGGACTGTTCCAACAGAGGTGGCATGGCTATTAGCTGGCATTCCGCCCCTCACACTGCAATACAACTTTTACTTAAAACATTTTTATTAAGAACTAGCAGATTGGATATGCATGTAATTGACGATTATATCATTACTACTTGCGTTTTTAAAACTCTAGATATGAGTTTAATTCGTCCCAAGAATAGAATCCCATTGGAATACTGTAAGACTGAGCCAAAAGAGGATGAGCTTAATATTTACACTGATAGATCCGGGATTTGCTCAGAACTCTGACGTACATAATACCTGGTGATATGAGCTTGAACGTCGGTTTTTGGTCAAGCCAAATCGCTCAGTATTAATCGATGATCTTTTTCAAAAATGTCACTAAATTCTAAATGCAGCATTCTAAAAATTCGTGGAGAATTTTCTTAATAAGGTGCCACGTATTATCGTTATTAGTAGCTATCAGAAAATGCACCATAACTAATAAATTTCTGAGTTTTGCAAAAAACTATTATGTGAAAATACCAGAAAATATTTGGTCAGTTACTGTACCTAGAAAATCATTTAAGAAATCCCATTTTCAACATCACTGCTCGCAGTAAAAATGATAAGGCAATTACTCTGTTTGTGTCAATTAAGGGCTCAGTATGTAAATTGGTATGAATTTTGGATATCAGCACATAATAGATCTTTATCTTTCCAATTTAAAATAATGTAGTTAAAGCAAAAATACAGTTTGTGTTAAGCTACATACATCTTATCACATTAGATAAATTGATAAACATGGTGCTCTATGCATATAATGTAAAATAAAAAAATAAAAAAGAAAGAAAAAATTTGCAAAACTGTTTTATATTATTCTTATGCACAAATATTTCTGAAAAAAGGAAACTAATTAAAATATTAACAAACGTAGCAGGTAGAAAAGCAATTGTTTCAACGCAACTATCTTCTATTAGCATTTAATGATCCTGAAACTATGATAATCAAATAGTCCTTTGAACGTTTTCGTGTTACTTTTTACGAAGTTCTTGAAAAATTTAAAGTGTCATTTTATTGGCTTTTGAAGAAATAACAGTAAGATTTGTGAAAGTATTTTCAGCTTTGTATAAAAATAAATTATGAAAATTCTGTATAATAAATGGTAAATCTCAACAGCATGTTTGTCTCAATTTCATAAATTTCGAAAATCTTTAATTTTATGTTTTAATTAATAAAATTTTTATTTCTTTCATAGGAGAATCTTATGGACCACTTTTTAGTAATGTACGTTGATCACATGTCCGTAAGTATCCTTCTGCACAAATTTTCTTAATAAGATACCACGTATTATTGTTATTAGTAGCTATCAGAAAATGCACCATAACTAATAAATTTCTGAGTTTTGCAAAAAAACATTATGTGAAAATACCAGAAAATGTTTGGTCAGTTACTGTACCTAGAAAATCATTTAAGAAATCCCATTTTCAACATCACTGCTCGCAGTAAAAATGATAAGGCGATTACTGTGTTTGTGTCAATTACGGGCTCAGTATGTAAATTGGTATGAATTTTGGACATCAACACATAATAGATCTTTATCTTTCCACTTTAAAATCATGTAGTTAAAGCAAAAATACAGTTTGTGTCAAGCTACATACATCTTATCATTAGATAAAATGATAAACGTGGTGCTCTAGACAAATATTGTAAAATTAAAAAAAATATTTTTGCAAAACTATTCAATGTAATTCTTATGCACAAATATTACTAAATTAGCTAATTAAGCTGAGAGTGTTGCAAGCAGAATTACAGAAATATTGCATTGTTAATATTCTACACGGAGAAAGGATTTATATTGCTTGTTAATAGTAGTATAATATTTATTATACTAGTACTTAGTAGTTACATTTCAGACTACTAAAATCGTTAAACGAAACGCAATGTAAAGCGTAACTAAAGAGATAACTAGCCCAAAGATATCTCTCTTCAAGTTGAACTAACATCTCTCAACAAAAATAACTGAGAGAAGATGCTCTTTCCGGCCTTATATAATGTTCAACCGGTTGCCGAGATATTTCTAGTACCTTCTGCTTCTCGAAATTACTGGAAAGCAATATGAGGGTCGAATTACGATTGCAGCTACTATAGTGATCAATTCCATTTATTCAGTTACAATTTCTGTACAGTGATACAGGGAACGGGCCAAATGGTAGCCCAATTTGGCGACTTTTGGCTATTTCTCGCCAGATTTGGTGACAACATAAGTCAACAAAAGTGTTGTTAGCTTGGCGATATCTTGCCAAATTACCCATTTACTCAAGTTAATGAATTGCCCTCATGTATTCTTACATACACTCTTAGGGAAAAAAAAAAAAAAAAAAAAAAAAAAACCGACCACCATTACGTAACCGAGAAGATATAAAGCAAACGGACACAAATTGTTATGCCTACAGTTTCGAGGCAATGAAATTTTACATTTGGCTGTAATGAATGAACGGTTGTCGTTACGCGCATCTATCTGCGCAATGGCAGGATATTAAGAAGAGAAATTACGATTCCAGGTCAAAATTCTTCACGAATTTTCATTCCGTTACTGGTAGACAGAACTATGCCCTCGCAACATTTAGCGAACGATTATGCGCAGATGTCAGAATTTGAGAGAGGTCGTGTAGTTGGGTTCAAAGAACCGGTCGGTTATCGGCGAAGAGCTCGACATTTGAGCAGGAGCGATGCCACTATTAGACGATGTTGGCAGGAACCATGGCCGCACACAGCGTCAAGAAGGAAGCGGTAGGTCTAGAGAAACGACAGAACGTGAAGACCGAGCAATCATTAGAGCGGCACTTACAGCCCCAAATGCTCATTATCATCAACTGTACGTGCAACTAGTACTTCAGTGACCGCAAGGATCATACATAAACGGCTCACAGAAAGGGGGCTGAGGTCACGGCGCCCCTTGCGCCGACTACCATTGATCTCTGTACAACGTCAAGCCCTTTTGCAGTGGTGTAGGGCTCATTCGCACTGGTAGTCTTCAGTGATGACTCCTGCTTTGAACTGAGCCCCGATGACCAGCGAAGGCGAGTCTGGAGACGCACCGGGCAGCGGCGTGATACCAACATGACTGTCTTCCGGGAGACAGGCCGACAACCAGGAGTGATGGTAGTCTTCAGTGATGACTCCTGCTTTGAACTGAGCCCCGATGACCAGCGAAGGCGAGTCTGGAACCACCGGCATCGCGTGATACCAACATGACTGTCTCCGGGAGACAGGCCGACAACCAGAGTGATGGTCTGGCTTGCCATTTCATTTCATAGTAGGACCTCTTTGTTCATCCGTCGCAACCTTACAGCACGCGTACGGTCGACACGTCTAAGGCCCGTTTTGTTGCCCTCATGTCATCCACCCTGGTTACAATTTCAGCAGATAAGGCCCGCCCCCCCCCCCAAATGGTGTTTCTAATCTCGCCTAGTGTTTGCAAAAGAGCTTGGCCAGCAAGGTCCGCAGGTTCTCTCTCCTATGAGCAGTTGTAGCAGGATGGGCGGCCCTCCACCAGCTGGGATGTTGACGACTAACGCGCCAGTGGCCAAAAGTTAGCACGATATCCCTCAGGAGGACATCTGCAAAACCTCTATCATCGATCCAAACCGAATAACGGCTTGCATAAGGGCCAGAGGTGACAAAATGCGTTACTGACTTTTCACTTTGTGAAGCGCTAGCACTCAAGAAAAAATTTTCTCAAACTGTAATCATTTGTTTTTTCTGTACAGTGCATTATCTACCGATTTTTCGCCCATTTTTGTTGGGGCATTTTTTTTTTTTTTTTTTTTTTTTTTTTTTTTTTTTTTTTTTTTTTTGTTGTTGTTGTTGTTGTTGTTGTCTAAGAGTGTATTACATTATATCCGGCATAGCTCGTCTCTTTAGATTTTTTTTTTTGTTACACTACGTAGCAAAATACAAGAATTTCACAAATGATTACACTAAAATCACCTATCTATATATAAAATTCGTAACAATATTCTACTCGGAGAAAGGATCAAATGTTACAACATTTATAATGTTTGTTATTTGTAACCTTTTGTAGCAGTTTTGAATGGAACTTCATTGTCCATTTAAAATTGCAGAGCTCCATTTATACGAAATCAAGTTATCTAGGATTACAGTTATGTAAAGAGATTTTCATCTTCCTGGTAGATCTTCTGCTATCTTTTAACCAATAGCAGGTGTTCACCCTTATTCTGCTTTCTGAATTATGCGGAAGAGCGGGCTTGCGAGCTCCCAGAGCGATAATACAGAGTGTATTTAAGAATTTTTATATAGATTTTTTTGCGCAGCTTAATTAATGTTTTAAATATAAAGAGCTTTTTTTTTTAGATGTGCAATCTGATAACCTTTTTAAACTAAAGAAAAGTGTCAAATAATACAATAGGAGAAAGAAGTAAAAACTATTATTAATCATCTGCTTAGTGTTTCAAATAGAACTTTTCAAGGGGAAATTATTTAAAACATTAAACTTGGATAATTAATGAGTGCCAAATACACGTCTTATTCTTCCTGCCATTTCGAGATCCCTATCTCTATTAACTATTAGTTCAAAAATGTTAAATAATATTTTTTCATGTCTCAAAATGGAAAGAAATTAGCCTGACGTGTCTTCGACTTTCGACTATTAAGTTGCAAATATTTAAAAAGTAATACAAAAAAAAAAAAAAAAAAAAAAAAAAAAAATCTTCATTGAAAATCGAAGTTAAACAAAAATTCTGTCAAATAGTAAAAACCTAGGAAATCTGTACACAAAATATTTGAAAACGTTATTCAAATTAATAGTTTATGAAAAACGTGCGAATTAGTCCTATAACCCTTTGTTGCTCAGTATTTCCCTACAACGAACACCCAACTTAACTTCTCAAACCGTTAAGTTCAATTAAACATGAATGAAAACAGGTTTACCATTTACTTTTAACTTCCCTTTTAAATCATCCATGGCACCACCACACAAGACAATCCGTCATTTTCAGCTGTCACCTCTTATTTAAAATCCTCATATGTACAAGAAATTTTGTACATTTTTTCTCGTACGAAAAAGATTATTTAAAAGATTTTTGATTTTATATCGTTGTCTGTACTCTAAACTATTCATTCTATATTATTTTAAATTATTTATACAGTAAACATAGGATGAGCTGTTGAACAAAATTAGGTGTTTCATCAACGGAAACACTGCGCCACCAGCTCATATCTTATTACGTAGCTGAAGACGATGACGAGAAAAAACATCTCTGCTCCCTTTTTCTGTTTTTCCCTGTCTTGGGGAATGAAGTCGTGGCATCCCATATGCTTCCATTTCCTAAATGTAGTTGTAATTAGCAGCTACATACTATAAAAATGCTAATTGGGGGCGAAATATAAACAGCCAAAGAATTCCGCCTAAATTTCTGTATTCCCTCTGTGGCATGAAGCAATTAGAAATAACTACGTTGAAGAGACGAAGACTCGAAAATACTTCCCAAGTTTTAAAGTAAAGGTTTCCGCCTGTAAGCGGTACGAATACATGCTGGTGAATAGTACGCGCAGGCAACGTGGGTACTGTACCACGAAAACGAAGCCGCATAAAACAAGATTCATGTGCAAAGCATGCAATGTTGATTTGTGTTTTTGCCAAAAACATGTAACGTACTTTGAAAAATTTCATGAAGGCAAGAACGGCTTGCACTAGATTTCATGAAGAGGATAATAAATATTTTTGTATATATAGATAGATATACAGGGTGTCCACAATTAAACTTGAAATTTGCGAGCAGTCTGTAGAAAAAACTATACCGCGGAATAGCACGAAGATTGGTTAATGGCAGAATGAAATGATGGGAATTTTATTGAGGAAAGAAAAAACAATGAGTTTCAAAAACCACCCCTAGGTGGCGTATCATATCTTTATTGAGAACATATAAATAATCTACAAATGTTTACAAAACATGCTCGATATGATGTCTACCGTTCTCTGCTACCATCTGAAAGCGTAAAATGGCACGTTCGACTGTTGAAAGCAGCATGAACTATGCCACGGTAGACCATGGCCTTGAGATATCTCCACAGCTAAAAGTCGCAAGGATTCAAGGGGATCCGCAAGGCCGCTTCCTCAAAGTCAAGCTTTAGGAAATTGCCGGCTGATGATTCTGTCTTCACCGAAATGGCGGCGGAGCATTTGTTGTACACGACGGGCGATGTGTTCAGGAGAAACCATCTGCAAAAAAGGGTAGGTATAAAATAGCCTTGCGAAGACCCGGAATAACGCATTCCTAATAT